GTCACTGGATTAACTGAGAGATGCTTTTGTCCCCAAATTTAGAAGCATCACAAAATATTTACATGACATTTACATGGCCATTCTGTATTGTGAATATAGTCAAAGCTAAATGGCATGACATCAAACGGCATGACATCATCCTCATGCCCATTGGATATATTACCAACTTCCTTGTTCTTTAAAGTGATTGATCTTGTTGCTCCTATTGTCGTCAAAATTATTAACACTTCACTTCCCACTGGGACCGTCCCAAACTTGTAGAAACAGGCAGTGATAAGCCCCATTTTAAAAAAGCCCAATTTGGACCCTGCGGAGCCTTGTAACTATAGGCCAATATCAAAACTGCCTTTTATCTCAAAAGTCATGGAGAAGGTAGTAGCTGAGCAGCTGACAGCTTTTCTAAGTAACAAGGAACTTTTGGATAAATATCAATCTGGTTTCAGAAAGATGCACTCCACTGAGAGTGCTCTCCTCAAAGTGTCTAATGAAGTACACATGGCTGCTGATTCTGGAAGGTACTCAGTATTGGTTCTATTGGATTTATCATCAGCGTTTGATACAGTGGACCACAAAATGCTGTTGAATAGATTAGAAAAAGAGTTTGGTATCGTTGGGTCTGTTTTAAAGTGGTTTTCCTCTTACTTGAGTGACAGAACTTTTTCTGTATATGTATATAAAATACTGTATTCTTAAATGGAGTTCCACAGGGCTCTGTCCTAGGGCCACTTTTGTTTTTACTGTACATTACCCCTTTGGGAAAAATTTTGAGCCATTTTAACAATGTGTCATACCATTTTTATGCTGATGTACAGCATACAGTTGTATTGCTCGTTCAATGACTCCGAGTTCCACAAACTAACAGATTTATTGGAATGTTTTTCTTCAGTTAAATCGTGGCTTGCTAGTAACTGTCTTCAATTAAATTCGGAAAAGACTGAAACCCTAATTGTTGCCCCAGACAATAAAATACCACCCATCCTTCAAAACCTTGGTTCTCTGAGCTCCTCTGTCCAGTCGAGCATCAGAAACCTGGGTGTCTGGTTTGACCAGTCAATGTCTTTGGATTGCCATTCTAGACTTGTGGTCAGAAACTGCTTTTATTACCTAAGAAATATTGCAAAATTGAGGGTAATTTTATCAGACTCTGACCTCGAAGTGGTTATCCATGCTTTTATTTCTTCACGGTTAGATTACTGTAACTCTCTTTTTACTTTTTGTAACAAATCTACTTTAAATCGCCTTCAAATGGTTCAAAATGCTGCGGCAAGGCTTCTAACAAGATCTGGCAGGAGGACACACATTACACCCGTTTTGTCCTCCTTACACTGGCTACCCATCAAATTGCGTATTGATTTATTAGTTTTAACTTTTAGAGCTTTACATGGTCAGGCCCCTCAATACATTGCTGATTTGTTATGCACATACTCCCCAGGCCGTGCACTTCGATCCTCAGGCCAGAGTCTGTTAATGGTCCCAAAGACTCGCTATAAAACCCGGGGAGACCTGTCCTTTCAGGTTGTAGCCCCCAGACTGTGGAACGCCTTGCCTTTGTTCCTCCGTGTGGCCAACTCGGTCGATTCTTTTAAAAGGCATCTCAAGACACTGTTATTTAGACAAGCATTTAGTTAACTGGGTTTTATTTTGGGCTCTTTAAATGTTGTCATTTTTACTGATTGTATACCGTTTTATTTTGTGGTTGCACTTTGTAAAGCACTTTGTGATTTTATCTGTGAAAAGTGCTCTATAAATAAACTTTACTTACTTACTTACATCCAACATAGGACTTTTTAGAAAGGAAAATTTTAAAGAGAAAAAAGAGAATCAATAAATTATGAATAGTTTAGTGCCATGCTGTGAATAATATGTAATCCATAAAAAAGCCTATCTGTCCCAGTGACAAGCTGATGTACCCTTAACGGAAAATTTGGCTACACTTTATTTTAAGGTGTCATTACTGAGTAATATTAATTAACATATCAAATTAATTTCTGACAGTGTACACTGTACATGTGAGAAACTGCACACTTCAGTCACGGATGACATGAATCACACACACCGGTTCAGTCAGGGTATTTAAAGCATCCCATCAGGTAGGATTACCGCCTGGCATGGGAGCAGAAGAACTCGGGACGGCAGAGACGTGCAGATGATCAGCTGAGTGTATGTGTGACAAGTTTGGAATACAGCAAAATCAACACTGAATTAGAAACATTTCTTGAACCGAATCAGCATATTAGAAGAATCATGTGACACTAAAGTCTGGAGTAATGATGCTGAAAATTCAGCTTTGCATCACTGAAATAAATTACGTTTTACAGTCTTCTTTTAAAAACATTTTTAAAAATCTTACCGCCCCCGAACTTCTCAAAAATTGTGTATATCAATCCTCCAGAATGATATGCACATCAAAATAACTATGCTTTACTGTAGACAATAAAGGCAAAAACACCATTTAGAGACTCCATATGTATAAGTATTTGTAAGTCGCTGATTGTTGAGTTTCATGTTGGTAAAGTTATTGACGTACAGTACCCCTCTACCAGCACTATTACTATTTCACAAATAAATTCAGCCTGGGTGAGCATTAGAAACAGCTGACCATCTGCAGGTCTCTGCTGTCCTGAGTTCTTCTGCTCCCATGCCGGGCGCTAACCTGATGGGATGCTTTAAATAGCGCATGTGTAGAAACCTTTTCAACATTGATAATAATAAGAAGCATTATAATCGTATAATCGCACCAATAATATTTGTTATTAACTGAGCACCAAATCAGTATCATGTGACACTGAAGACTCGAGTAATGATTATGAAAATTCAGCTTTGCATCACAGAAATAAATTATACTTAAAATATATCTTTAAATAAAAAACTGTTATTTTCAATTGTAATAATATTTCAAAATATTACTGTTTTTACTGTATTTTTTATCAAATAAATGCAGCCTTTGTAAGCATAAGATCATCGTTAAGGATCCCAGCCACTCAAACAATAGCCTGTTCTACTGCTGCAGTCAGGAAAATGATACCACATCTTTTAGGCCAATAAATCAATCGTGGATCTGCTTCCTTCAGGCCACCCATATCTTTATTGAGGAGACAGCACGGCTGCCACACACAAACTATTATGAGCACCTTCATCAGTATGCCAGTGCTTAGCATACAAATGGTTATTATTATCCATTCAAATTTTGTTTGCATATATTTATCCCTGCACAATTTAGACAGAACAGATTCAGTGTGCTATTTTAGAATAAATATAATGTATCATTATTATCAATTTTGTATTTACATTGATTTTTGGTAATATTATTTAGGAACATATATTATGAATTTGATGGAGAGATTCTGCTTAAAACACTCATAGTCAACAACACATCATATGAGACGACCTCACACAGTTCCCTCCTTAGAGCTGCACTGTTTTAACTAATTTAATCTAAATTCTGTAGACAAAACTTTTCTATCCCAATTCTGTCATGGACACTGACAAATTGTTTTGATCATACTGAACTCTAGTGGCCAGATATGGACAATGCATTTTATTTTGCATTTCATTTTTACTATTCCATAATGATTTTATCATACTAAAAAATGTCAGAGGTGATCCACAGATCATTTAAGTATCATGAAACAACACATTTATTTTAGTTCAAACTTCAGTGCATTTATTTGCATGGTAAAATAGGGTAAAGTTATTTAACTTTAAAGTCGGCATGAAACAGAACATCCAACTGAAACAGCTTCACGAACTTCTAGAAAATAATTAGGGTGGGGCCTGATTTTGTCCACCAGGAATTCATTGGATCATTGTGGTTTGCTGTTGATGTGATCTCATGTGAGTGACAGGTTGTCTCACCCTCACGACAGTAAACACGCCATCAGAAAAGAGGAGAGATTTTGTTGCAAGTGAGAGGAGAAGTAATTTTGATTAAATATTACAAGGGAACATTCATATGGATAAATCATAATAAACACAGCAATATTCCATACAAAAAAAGAATTGTCAATTTTGATTTCATGGTGACTTTAAGACCAGTTCACACACCAAACATGAAGACAATAATGCTAACTAAAATAACTATATTAGTGTTTACGCCAATGTGCAATGACGTTCTGTTTATTATAAGTGCATGATGTTATGTCTCTGCCACTTTAAATGCTTGATCTCGTTAAGGTTGGTGGATTGTGATTGGCCTTCAATGTTTTTGTCATTCATCAGCCGAAAAAAAAAAAAAAAACTGTTCTGAAAATGAATCCAACGATTTTCGATTCTGTGTGATTATTGTTATATAGTTATGGTGTGGACTTCACAATTCTCTTTTCAAAGATAAAAAAAAAGAGTTATGGTTATCGTTCTTGTTGTGAATGGGCCTTAAATTCACCATGATATAAAAATGACAATTCTTATTTTTTTAATGGAAAATTATTAATAATGTATTATGATGTTTATTATGAATTATTTATCCATGAATAATTTTTAATTAAATTCTTAATCAAAATAACTTCCCCTCCCTCTTGCAGCGAAATCTCTTCTCTGATGACCTAGCAAGCTATAACAAAAACATGATGCTATTTTAGATTTAATTTGTAGAATACACAAACATTATTATAGGCCTGATTTAAGAGTGTGACTTTTGACTCTAATACAGTTTATATACAAAAACCTACCAGGTGTTTTCACATAAAAGTAAAAGCAATTGTTTTCTAACCCTCAATAGCCTAGGCTACTCGCACCACCTTGTGGCGTTAAACAGGTTCAATTTCTGAGCAATGTAAACAAAATGACTGCAAAAATATTGACAGTTCCGTTTAAGCAAAGTATGTAGATTCCAGTTATCGACAATATTCATCTCTTTTATATCATTCAAGCCAACGGTCATGCAATAGGATATTTGATCTTGTGTTTGTTTTGAGACTTTTCAGTTCATGAAACTCACCGGCGGCGGGAACATCACGGGAACATCAGCGTCACGGGAGCGAGCACGTCTAAGCTCTGCCTTCTCCTCAACTTTGTTGCCTCTGCGGACGCGCGCCAGATCAGATCACTCGCAGCATCTTTCTGAAGGACATGACTAGACTAAACGGACAGAGAATGGATGCAAACGTCGTGGTGCTCGGCACAGACAATGTTGGAAAATCTGGTAAGTTTTTTTAAATTATATAGCCAGGCTACTATAATATAGGCATATATAAAATCCATTTATTTTTCTTTAGTCATCTTATGTCACTTTTTTAACATCTATGATCTTGCCATATAACCAAATGCTCATACAAGTTTGTTTTGTAGCACTTATTGTCCGATTCCTGACTCGTAGATTCATCGGGGAATATGGGGATATTGGTATGTTGCCCTAATCACTAATACGTTAACGTTACACCTTTAATATTGTTAAATTTTTACTAACTTCTATGCTTTCTCTACAGAGTCCCTTTACACTCACAATGTCGTTGTGGATGGACGAGAGCAAACTCTGAATATATGGGATGCACCATATTCACAGGTGATTCAGTGTTTCAGAAACTGTTGTAAACATTCAAGTTAACTTTTTTGTCAACTATTTAATCTGTTCAGATATCCCTAGTGAAGAAAACAGCATAAACCTCTAAGATGACATGCTGGTCTTAGCCGGCCTAGTTTGGTCCGGACCAAAAAATAAATAAATTTAGTCCTGGTCTGCTTAGAGCTCACATTGGCATTTTAACACCAAAACATTGGTGATATGGGATTGGGATATTCACATCACAACCTATTTGGTAGGCTATATTTCATGATGGAACTTAAACATCCAAAACAATTTGTGGTGGGCTAAATGTGCTCGTTGTATGTGCATAGCCTACATATGATGGTATTTTAACCAGCTGAGATCTCGTCAAGGGTATAGGCATCAGAACTGAATCTCCTCACAGCAGATCTTCATTTGTGTGTGTGACCGAGGGATTCCAGCCGCTGTTTTGACTCCTTTACACATTTTATAAGCTATTCACAAGTTCTTAGCATGGTCAAAATACCATCATATGTAGGCTAGACACATACAACAAGTGCATTTAGCCTAGCACACAGCATTGTTTTGGATGTTCGGTAAGTTCCATCTCAAAATAGGCAATACGTCATAAAAGCTGACCTATCAGGTTGTGAACGCATCCCTTTGCCTTTAGGTTCTGTATCTTTAGGTTCGGTGATAAAAATGCCAATCTGAACGCTAAGCAGGCCAAGACTAAATTTATTTATTTTTTGGTCCGGAGCAAATTAACCAAGGGAACCAAACTACAAGTGTGAACATACCCTTAGAAGTAGTTAGGATCTTGTCAGGCTAGGTAAACCATTTTAAACCAGCTAAGACCATCAATTCAGATTAGGCTGGTTTATACTGTTATCTACTGTTAGTGAATAAAAAATCATAAATAAACCATGTGAAATGTTGAATAAATATGCGGTGGTTGTCTTCTCATCAGGACCTGTCCTTCGAGTCCTTGATGTGTGAGAAAAGAGTCCAGTGGGCAGATGGCTTTGTGCTGGTCTACAGCATCTGTGACCGAGCCAGTTTCAACGCAGTCTCCAGACTCATCCAAACAATCAAAACCGCTAAGGACTTTCTGGGCTTTGAGAAGATGCCCATAGTTATTGTGGGAAACAAGAGAGACCTGCACCATCGCCGTACGGTCCTCAGCGAGGAGGGCAGGCTGCTGGCGCTCTCTGCCGACTGTCAGTTTTATGAGGTCTCGGCTGCTGAGAACTACCACAGCGTCCTCATGGTTTTCCACGGGCTGGTGGATCGCATCAGGGAGTCCAGGGTGTCTGTGAAAAAGTTAGCAGGCATCAAGAGCATTGTGAAGAGCATGTCTGCAGTGTTCGCCCGCAGGCGAACGGATTCGTTGTGAAGCTAGTGAGAGCTCTGGAAATAAAGCTTACTGTATGTGGTCTGATATGACCTATTTTAAACCATCGAGAGAGACAAACTATTGCTGTGGCTCCTAAAAGAGTCCCGGATCTCTCACATGACTACAGCTGGACCTTCCACTATGAGATTGTCTTAGTTTGTCTGCTAAAGTGATGGCATCCATTGAGAATGTGTTGAAAGTGGAGAGTTCTCAATACAAGGCTTAAGATGCGGTAGCAGATTATAGCAATCAAAAGTGGAGTTAATATTCATAGTATGATCACATTTGCTTACTTTAAGCAGGAAAGATCTCAGTGCTTCTGCAAATAATCATGATGAGTGTTGGCAACAGGTAAAAACACTCTGGTGATGACGGCCGTGGGAGTCATTCATGATTCAATGCTGTGTTCTAAAAATATAAGCAGATGCAAGACGACAATGTCTTTTGCTACATTTATCAAATACAAAAGTCTCCCACAGTATTGTCATACCGAGGAGTTGTCATCAGCTCAAGGCCGTCTTGCAGTTTAATCGCAATGGACTGTTTGTTGATTGCGTCTTTGTGCATTCAGCACAATGTGTTTTTTCCCCAGCTTCTTTTCTGAGGCTGGTCAAATGCTTTATGAAAAACACACCACACTGTGTAATTGTGCTACAAAATATAATAAATCACATAAAGACTTCCCCTGAATGCCAATGCACAGTGCAATGTTACAATCATCAGCATATGAATATGCTGTTTTTGTATTGAATACATTGTTACACCAAAATCATGTATTCGAAGTATGTTAACTTCAGTTGAAGAAAGATTGCCAATTGAAATCTAAAGTGAAACAAATGGAGTGAATACATGGTGTAGAGCTGACAGATACGAGTATTTATTTGTCATATATTTATAGACCACATAGACATTACAAGTATGCATGTAAACATTTTGATCTGCTCTTTTATTCTGATATAATGACTAAAGAGGAGTAGCTCATCAAATGTTTTAATTATTCTTGTAATTCATATTAAAATAGGGAAAAATTTAGGCTCAAAACAGTCACAGGCTATTTTCTGCAATTATTATGCTGTATGTGTTGCATAAATCATCTAAAAAAAACTGAATGATCTTTGCTGTAATGATTTGCTGTAAATGTCATTCTGGTATCTTGAAAGAGATGCAAATCTGAGGACTTTTCCATCGAGCACATTGTCCACTCAAAAACTAATAGAGGCAGTGACATCGCAACAAAAAAAATGATTATAGTAAATCATTTATACTGGTACTTAATGGGTCACAACTGTGCAGTTTTTGTGTAATGAACCTGTTGTGTAATGATGAAATCTCATTCCTCACATCTTGGTTTTGCAAGGGAATCTTTTGGAAAAAGTGTATGATCACCAATTGCTGTGACTGCTGATACAATAAAATATCAGTGAAAATTAGTCAGGATTTGCCTTGTGTCATTAATGATATTTGCACCATCTCTGCAATTACAGTTAGTATTATATAATCAGTCACAAATAATGCAAGACATTTGTATATTCCTTACAACACACATTTTATTATTACTGAAGATATTTAAGCCACACCACAATCTCTAATTCAGTGTTTTTTCTTAGCTACACTTTAGCTAAAAGTTTGAGGTCAGGAAGATTTTTTGTTATTGAAAAATCTACATTTTGAATGCATTAAAATGATCAAAAGTTACAGTAAAGGCATATATAATGTTTTAAATTATTGCCATTTTAAATGAAACGCTATTCTATTGAACGTCATTTAAAGACTCCTGAACAAAAGCACGGTTTCTACAGAAATATTAAGCAGCACAACTGTTTTCAACATTGATAATAAAAAAAAGTTTTCTGAGCAAATCAGCATATTAGATCATAGTATATGGGATGCAATTCGCTCTGTTGTGGAGAATATTCCCGGCATTTGCAAACTGAAGCCCGAACAAGAAGAGTGTCTGTTAAACATTTTGAATGGAGGTGATGTTTAAGTTGGAGAGAGAGGTGATTGACCATAGTCAGTATGTGATTGGCTTACATGTAACCAATGATTTTATACTTCAGACAAGCGCCCCCCCGCGAGAAAGAAAACACTTTTCAATTATGCCATTCCAGACTCTGTCTACGAAGCAAAGCGAAGTAGCAGAGTTTGGTATTACCAGGCTACTGTATATCAGTTCTCCAGAATGATTTATGTGCACAACAAAATAAATTTGCTTTATTATAGAAAAAAAATGCAAAAACAGTTCAGAGCCTCCACATGTATAACTAGGTCACTGACTTGAGACTTTAAAAATCATCGCTCCATTCTCACTCGCCGTTCCTGCTGTTTGGCACTGTGTGAATGTTAGAAGAGGAGGAGATCTTGGTGTAATCTGTCAGACTCTTCCTAGAGGATCGGTGGTTGGAGGATTTCTTGTTGCTCCCCCCAAGAACTACTTTCTGCTGCATAGGAATCTGCTTTATTAACTTCTTCTTCAGCTGACGGGTTTCCTCCGATATCTCTTTGGGCTCTTTAGTCTTAAGAGGTGGCTTTTCAGAGTTGTGACTGGGGCTGTGCATGTGGTCTCCTAAACTGGCCTCCAGCACCAGGGAGCCACTCAGACATTCTTCTGCTTCATCTTTCCCAGCCAGTTGGGAGCCTCCTGGCTTGGAAGATCGCCTAGGAATCTGTTATGAAAGAAAACAAAAACTATTCTTTAGGTTTCCACATGTGAAGGATCTCAAAGGTAGCAGAGATTATGGAATTTGGCAGTCAAGTACTGTTCATTCACATGAACGCAAGTAGTAAAAACTGGCAAATGTCCTAGAGCTGTATAGCTGAAATGAAAAACATCAAGTATTCTTTGTCAGACATTAATTATAATCAAAGCCATAGAGTGCTACTTCACAATGAGGACTTGTATGTGGAATATTGTGGAATTATAGCTTTGTTTTCAATGGCTATAGGCCTAAATGCGGTTGGCATGTCTCTTTTACTAGTTTCAAACACAAAATCATTTGACTATAACACTGTAAACCTATTATTTGGGGAATAACGATTCTCTAAAATACAAAAAGTCCCTGAAAACACCATCAGGGAAGGAACAAGTCACACAACATCTCCCCATATGGACTGACAGCCAGCTGCAAGGGCAGAGTAACTTTGGTGCCAGACCTATTGGAGTCTCCTTTTGTCTAGCTATTTTATGGGATCCCAAACAGTCCCAGGCCAGGGGTTAATTAGGGAGGGATGGGTCTGTCTGTGGCCAATTACAACTCTACACGTTCCCTGACCTCCATTGCCTTCAAAGTCTAAGTGACTGAGCTCTGAGCAACAGTGAAGGCTTAAGATCCACCTCATTAAAGGAATAGTTCACCCAAAAATGAAACTTCTGTCATTATTTATTCACCTTCAAGTTGTTCCAAACCTGTAGGACTTTCTTCTTCTTTCTACTTGAGATATTGGAAAACATAATAACAAAAGAAAAAGACAAAGTATTATGGCACAGGGGCCTATTGGCAAGGTTCTGGTAAAGAAATTGGAACAGCAAACAAAGTAAAAAAAAAAACACACAACAAAACAAAAGCGTACACTAGGCAAAGGTTTATGGCACAGCGGCTAAATGAGTGGTTCTGGCACAAAAATTGGAAAAAAGAAAGGCTAAAGAAAGTTTTTGTGGAATTTTCTGTAGCCATGTAGAGAAGAGCACCTTATCTACGGCTACAAACGTGAAGTAACGTGTGGCCTCGACGCTCTTCACTGTTAATACTGTGGTGCTATCAGAAATATTTCACTCCAGATTTTACACTCAGTTAAACTCACCCAGATCCTTATAAAACACGCAGACGCAAGCATCAACGTATCTCTCCCTCTCACTTCTACAGATAAGCTCATGAACAAAAACAAAAACAAAACTCTCAGACAAAACAACCCAGATATCTATAGAATGATAAGATCATCTGTGAGACGTGACTCACTTCTCAGGCTACACAAATTTTTAAAACAACATAATGTGTAACAAAGATACCATGGCAATAAAGTGTTCCCAAAACTCTCTAAATGTGTATTAATATAACGCAAAAGCAAAATCAATGCATTTTGCGAGTTAATTACTGGGGAAATGATTATAATAAACCTGAATTGTTGTTTTGTTTTGTGAATTTTAGGTTTCAGGTAAGGGATAAGGGATATTAATTATTCATCCTCATGTCTTTCCACACCCGTAAGACCTTCGTTCATCTTTGGAACACAAATAAATATATTTTTGATGAAATCCGAGAGCTTTCTGTCCTTCCATCAGATAGGAAAGATATAATTAAGGTAATCCATGTGCCTCCAGTGGTTTAACCTCAATTTTAGGAGGTAACAAGTGCTTTGTTTGCACAAAAAAACATAATTTACCACTTTATTTATGAAAATATTAACCTGCAATCCAGTAGGGGGAGCACAACAACGCATGCGCTTTGGATAATATTATCTTGTAAATTAAGAGGTACATTACGTTTTTTTTCAAACAAAGCACTTGTGTCGCTTCATAATATTGAGGTTAAACCACGGGTGTCGCACGTGGATTACTGGACCTTGATTGTGTAAATTGCGTTGCTCCCAATGGAGGGACAGAAAGCTCTCAGAGATTTCATCAAACATATCTTTATTTGTGTTTCAAAGATGAACTAAGGCCTTAATGGTTTGGAAAGACATGAGGGTGAGTAATTAATGACAGAGTTTTCAGTTTTGGGTGAACTAACCGTTTTTTTTTTACAAAAACAAACAAAGAACAAAGGGAGAATAAATACAGGAAATTAATAAGTAAATGAGGAAGAGCAGATGATACAAATGAGCCAATACTCAGGTAACAAGAGGGCGGGGTTAAGACAATATACAAGCAAAGCACATAGCACATAGAAACAAATAAAACAAAGCCATGTGCTCACAAATAATCATGACATGAAAATGCAGCCAATAAGAGCTCTCACCGACTGCGTGTTCCCACAAAACCCTACAACATGAAAGCATGTGGCCGATGGAAAACAAGAGCCATGTGCTACACAGAACAAGACACGAAAGCACGCGGCCAATGATTAACATGAATCGTATGTGTAGCCCCTCAGGTCCTACTCGCCCCTCTCTGTGCGGGCCTCGAACCCGGGTCTCTAACAAAGAGACCATAGTCTCTAACATCTGTCACTAGAGCACCTCTTGAGATCAGGGGAGTGAGGTTTACTCGCACAACTCTCACTAGCTGGCCTCTGTGTATACACATGCTATGTGGAAAATGACAACACAAGAACGCCTGGCCAATGAAAACATAAACCAGGCACTCTACAAAAACACACAAGACAAGAGCGCACAGCGAGTGAATGAACAACACTCAATCTGTGCCTCGCAACAAGAGACCAAACATGGAGCACGAATGTCCGAACCCCAACACTGAACCGAACCCGAGCTAGATAGAAGTGTCAGGATCCGAACATACAACGTATCACACAGACAAAAGAGCGCAACGACAATACAGTTGAGTGTCAGGGCTCTGTTACCAATCTAAGAATAAACCAGACTGAAGTGATAGAATCCTGACATTATGCAACTGCACTCACAAGCACTGAGTCAAATTACTTGTATGCAATTCGTCGTATGACACGTCATTCCAGCTGCTTTCTGGGTATTGTGATGTAATCATCAACACCTCTGTGCCCAGGCCTTTCACTTCACATGTTTGTGCTAACGGGTCTGTGGCTAATTACAATATCAGACCTTGTTTCCCAGAAGCAACCAGTAGGGTTTGTACTGGTGGACATCTTCCAACGAGACTCGCCTGCTGTTTTTCAAGGAATCTCAGATCAATATGGCAAGAAGAGCAATGGGGAACTTTGAATGATTAATTACGTTTCTCTCTGATCTCATCTGGTATACACATTGCAATATAGTTAATAAAGGACAGGGATTTAAAACATCTTTTATTACTTGATTGCAACTAGGTCAAAGAATACACTGCAGGAATATGTACGCATGTCATGAGAATCTAAAGCTCTGCAGGCTGCATGAAATTAGTTCAGGTCTTTATGAATTTGTACATTTTAATGAGTATTACTAAATATCGCATGCACATGTAGGTCTAGTTTCACAGACAGGGTTTAGATTAAGCCAGGATTAGGCTTTAGTTCAATTATACATTTAAGTAGCTTTCATAAACTTGCCTTAGAAAAAAAAACTTTACTGGTACATATTTTGACATATCTTGAGACATATTCTGATGTCAGGGCAAGTTGCATGATAAAGAATGAAAATGTATTGCAATAAATATTTTATGGCTGAATTAATTGTAACATTCCATTTTGACCTGTATAAGTGATAAACATAAAAAATACGTCACTACAGTCAAAATAAAAATAAATAAATAAAATCAATTCTGCTTAAGCTCAGAGAAGCTTGACACTAAAATAAAATTTGTTCTATTAATTCTATATTCTTTTTATTTGTATTAAGGATTTTTTGAAAGAAGTCTCTTATGCGCACCAAGGCTGCATTTATTTGATTAGAAGTACAGTAAAAACAGATTTTATTACAATTTTAGATACCTTTTTGATATCTTAATATATTTTAAAATGTAATTTATTCCTGTGATGCAAAGCTGAATTTTCAGCATCATTACTCCAGTCTGCAGTGTCACATGATCCTTCAAAAAAATAAAAATCATTCTAATATGCTGTTTGTGTCAAGTAATATTTATTACTATTATTATCAATGTTAAAAATAGTTGTGCTGCTGTTAATATTTCAATGAAAGCATACGCATAAACTTGACTTATGGCTAGGCTGAGGACAGTTAGACAGTGCCAGAACCTCATTAGTACACCCTGAATGCCTGAATAACATCCGTCCTCGTTTGACAAGTCACCAAAAGAACATCCAAGAACGCACTGATTAGTCATGATTTAAAATATTTGTCTCCATGTCAGCTGACTTCTCAGACATGTGGTTGTCTGGCATTGTCATTACCTACATGTTTGCCACAGACTCTCTTTGTGCATAGAAAAAAACCCCCAAAGAACTGATGAATGGATAACATTGAAGGTTACTGAAAACAAAAGAGATTAGCTTGTTTTTACCCTTATTTACCAGACCGCAGAGAGTCTGATTTTTAAGTAAATAAGTCAATATGAAAGTCAGTAGGTAAAAATTGTCACAGTGTGCCCTCATGATATTTAAAAATATGAAATACCATTGAGGGCACACTGTGACAATCTTACATTGATTTTCACATAAAGACTTTGTCAAGCTCTGCGGGTGTCTGGAATGTGTGAACTATAAAACGATATAACTATAATACAAGTAATACAAATGCTCATAATCTACAAACACTACTGTTTTAATATAAATAATTATATATAAAATGAATAATAACAATAAATACACACTACAGTTCATTAGATTGGGGTTGGTAAGACTGGAAGTCTCCTTTGCTCACCAAGGCTGCATTTATTTGATTACAAAATCTGTAAAAACAATAATTGTCACGTTCAGTTCAGTTTAGTTTTGTTCATGGACTTTCACTGTGTATCTGTCACATGTTTCTTTGTTCAGTTCTTGAGTGTTATTATTAAAGTGTTGTTTGGATTTCATCTTCACCCAGTTACAGTAATATTATAATTTAAAATAACTGTTTTCTATTTTAAAATGTAATTTATTCCTGTGATGGAAAAGCTGAATTTCCAGCATCATTACTCCAGTCTTCAGTGTCACATGATCCTTCAGAAATCATTCTGATTTGGTGCTCAAGAAACATTTCTGATTATTATCAATTGTTGAAAACATTGAAATTGATCAATTTAATACATCCTTGCTGAATAAAAGTATGGATTTCTTTAAAAAATGACCCTATTTTCAATAGTAGTATATAAAAAAATAGAAACTAAAATAAATAAACTGTTATTCAATTACTACTTAGGTTTAAAGCATTATTAAAAGTTGTTAAACCCAGACAGGAACAGTAGCCCCTCATCTGCCTTTTGAAAAATAGTCCGATCAGATCTATAATCTAGACGAGCTCCACCTCATCTGTTTTTGATTAAATCCTTATGTGTGCATCTCTTCCCACAATACTTCACAAATGCGTCGAAAACATGTCTGCACACGTGCTTGTGCTGCGCCGGGTGATCCGTCTTCTAAAAGAAAGTAACCCGCTTGACAATAAACTACAAAATACAAGCAGGATTAAAATGTATTTCAATTAAATTTCACCAATTGTTTCTCTTGGAACTATAGACTTAAAGTACCCCTATTATGCTTTTTCAAATATCTTTCATGCAGTGAGTTATACAGCTGTTTGTAAATGTAAAATGTCTGAAAAATGTCAAAATTCAAAGTGCTTGATTAATGGAGTTACTGTCTCCCGAAAGAAAGAACCGAGTCTGAACTTCGAAATGAGTATTTCATATTCAGTTATTATTTCATTATCAGTTATTTCATAATTCATTCAGTAATACAGTAATTTCAGCAGCAATTGGCTGGCGGCAAGACAGCAACATAATGACATCATATTTAACAGTAATCATGTATCAGAATCGTGTAAAATCGTCAACAGTAAAAAACAGATAACTGAGTAATCCACGTACGAAGAACGGGCCCCAGTTGTACTGTATTTCAGCTACTCGACTAATCAAATTTGAGAACTGGAACTATGCTTAAAAAATTTGTCTCTATGAAGAAAAATGACTAACTTCTTAAATTATGAACCTCTTTAATTAACCTTTCCTAAAGTGATGTATCCAAGGTGATCTTAAACATTTGTAAACATTAAAAATTATTGTCGCTCTCAGTCAGAATCCATGAAGGAAATATTCCCTTGCTATGCAGAGCTGGGTGTGTGATCACAGCAGGCGTGGGTGATGATGAGGTTGAGGTGTGTGTGTTTGTTTGTGTCTGTATGTATTGAAGAAGGTCCATTCACATGTGAAGAGTCCACGTGAACTAGATTCCAGGTGCGTCAAAGCACGTGAGGAGCCAAATCAAATCAAACCTGAGGACTCACTCACCAGCCCATAATAAGAAAGGTTGTGCAGCGCTCGCTCCCTGACTGTGCCAAAGGAACCCAGGACAATGTTGACTCCATCCTTAGCCAGGTTGAAACTGGTTTGAGGGGTTTTCTTTACATTACCCAGCACAGATCTATTGACTTTAAGTAACTGCTGCCCTAATCCACTGACCAGACTCGGCAGCCCATTACTCTGCAAGAAAAAATAGCATCTTAATACAAGTGTGCTAGGATGATTAATCAAACAAACAATCCAACATTTTTCTTACGCTTTTATGGAGATCTGTTTATTACTCTCCAAATGTATAGTAATAATACTATAATATACTACAGAATGGTTTCCTGCCAGGACTGCAAATGAAAGTGTTATGTAATATTGCTTAAATCTCCTTGCCTATCAATAAAAATTACCATTGGCAATGTAATGTTTCTGGTGCATTTTTAAAAGTGTGGTGACATTAGTGAAATTCCACGGGTAAAAAAGGTCCATAGTCTATTGTCAATCAATAGTGTAGCGCTGAATGAAGCACTGCTCACACAGAAGTCACTTTAAGACTATATATGCCTACACACTCAGGCCCCGTTTACACGTACATGGTTATTTTGAAAAACGGAGACATTTCCCTTCGTTTGTGCCCTTCGTTTACACGCAAATTCGCCTCTGAAATGATTCTTTTTAAAAACTCCGGCCAGAGTGGAGATTTTGGAAAACTTTTAGGCAGCCGACATCACAGTATGCGACAGAACTTGCACCTGCGTCAAAAGTGTGACCTATGTTTACATTTTCATTTGGCTATGGTGATCATGCATTCAGAGTAGCAGTCGCATTTATGTTGGTGCAAACCCTTTTCGTCTGTTTGCATTTGCAAATACCATAGATATCCATAATAAAGGCTAGATGTCTTCCGGCGGAGTCTCTATCGTCATCACCGGCGGCCATCTTGTCACAGGCAAGCATTCTGGCGGGCTCTGTGGTACCTGATGTAAGATGAGGGATCAGCACGAACACAAATACTCTTATCTCGTTGAAATTTTGACGGATTTACAAACGGTTTGGTTTCTTACAAACATTATTAACGTGGCTATAATTTTGGATGATTGTTTATTGATACACTTATTATTCATAAGTGTGCAGTGTCATAACTACATCTGACGTTTATAACAAACCAAACCGTTTGAAAATCGGTAGAAAATTGAGCAAGTTATGGTTATTTAAAAGTACATGAACCATTAAAACACAGTGTTACGAGTGAGCAAGATGGCCGCCAGGTGCGGACGTCGACCTCCATTGGCCAGCAGTGCGGACGAGACATCTAGCCTTTATTATGGATATCTATGGCAAATACAGCTCGTCTAGTATGTCCATAGACAGTATAAGAAGTGGACAGAGCCATCTCATTGGAACTCAGTTGAGACAGTTGAAGCCCATTTTTAGCGATTTTTGAGCACTTCCGTTCATGACGCGCAGACTCAAACCGACTCAAACTAAGCTTGATGACGTGAGCAACCTGTCTGACAGACGTAAATCTTCTAGTAGCTGTGCGTGAAAATTGCCAACGTTAATCTTGCAGAGACGGGGAACTTGAGCAAAGAGTGCTTTGGCGTGAGTGAGCAGGAGTAAGTATTCCGTTGCTTTTATGGACTCATTATCTATGGGCTTCTCCCTTGACGGGACGTCCCCCCGATTGCCTGCAAGCTTCTCCTCCTGTCTGTACGGTAATTTCTGTACAGCGCGACAGAGAGTTGAGTGGTTATGACGCAATCGTTAGCCTATTTTTACTAAATCTGTTTCTACGGGGCCATAATGTAACATAGAAGGTAATGGAGCACTTTATACATTGTCGTGTTTCTTTAGAAATAAATAATGGACAAATGGAGTCTTTAAACGCCTCAGATGTAAAGTTATTCGCTGTCAAAGTGACGCCAAAATGAATGGGAGTCAATGGAAATGCTAACGCAAGTGAAGTTCTGCTACAACATGGCGGCACCCGGCCGGCTTCAACTTCCGGTCGATGGATTACCCCCTTGAGTATGTCGAGGAGCTGTTGTTGCTATTTTCGGGATTCTGATTGGCTGACGTGGGTTTGAGCTTCTTGTTACACTGCCACCTACAGGTTTGGCATGCTCTTGATGGCATATATACACGGGTTTGTGTAAACGAACACTTTTCTGAAAACTGACAGGTGTGCACGACGTTATTTTTGAAAATGGAGAGGGTGAAATGTTCGCTTATGAAAATAGCCGGCCACGTGTAAACGTAGCCTCAAACAAACAATCTAGGTCAAATAGTGAAATTGGGAAGTTCAATGGGGCGTATGAATGTTTATGGTAAATACAGTAAATATTACAGTATGGTAAAACAGTAAAAACATTTTTGGTTAAAATATTAAGAACTGAAGTGAAACTAAAAAGGTCAATATTTTAAGTGTCTGTAAGTGGTAAATATTTACAATGGTCTTACATTACTAGAACTAGTGATGCTGAAAAGATCCACTCACCTCGAGCTTCTCATGCTCATTATTGGTCATCTCCTTCTGAGGATCTTTCAGAAATGCTGCTACAGAGCTCGGGAGTCCTAGTATTACACCTCCTATAGTCTTCATTGTCTTCATGGTATATTCAACCTTAAAAAACACAAAATCAACATTTACACCACATGTTTATTACTTATACATTTAGTTTTAGTAAAGACGATAGATTTGCATATAAAATGTATATTTAATGCAAATAAAATGCATGTGCCCGATTTACTGGGCTCTCTGATTGAGTCTACTGGCTTGGCAGGGTGTGTGGATACATTGTAATTTGGCGTACTAAGTGTACTAATTGAGCGAGCGGTATGCACAACTGTGGTTTCCGAAACGAGGGCCCTTAATTTGCTGTGGGCTCTGTGAAGAGTTCACTTCAAACACTTCAAAAGGAAACATGTGCTCAACACTGAAGACACATTTTGTACTTGTTGGAAGGACAAACTAACACTTGAATACTGTTTGCTGCTTACCAGGGGACTCACGCCAGGGATCTGTGTGACCAGTTCCTGACCTTGACGTTTGGAGCGCTGAAGCTGTGCAGCTGTCTTCTCAAAGGCACGTCTGCACATGGTGTCGGCCAGCGCTCTCAGTCTGCTGAAACTGGGATTCTGGCCAGAGGATCCAACATCAGGCTCCTGCTCTCTCATACTCCCATCATCCACTGCAAAGTAAAAAAAAAAAAATTACGTGAGGACATAATAAGCGGAAGGGTGGTATTTAGACTGCTTTCATGTTCTTTTATAGAGATTCAAACACACACATCTTATTCACTCACTCACTGTGATAATAGACTGCAAAAAAGGATCACAGAGCGGTTAAAATTCCTTTATGCAGGAGAAATAAAAAACAACAATGAAATGAACAGAAAAAGTTATTGAAAAAGTTTGGGGTCAGCAAGATTTTAAAAGTTTTTTAAGAAGTCTCTTATGCTCACCAAGGCTGTATTTATTTTTGATCAAACTACAGTAAAAACATGATATAAATTTAAAATAACTGTTTTTTATTTTAAAATGTAAATGATGTCAAAGCTGAATATGCTGATTTCCTCAAGAAGCATTTCTTATTACTATCAATGTTGAGAATGGATAGGCTGTTTAATATTTCTGTGGAAACCTTGATACCATTTAAAAGTTTGGGCTCAGTATTCACAAAAAAAAATGAAAAGAAGAATGCATTAAATTGATCAAAAGTGTGGGTAAAGACATTTATAATGTTACAAAAGATTTCTGTTTCAAATACAGGCTGTTCGTTGATCTTTCTATTTATCAAAGAATCCTAATACAATATTTTATATAATATTATTATAACTATATGAAATAATATTTAATAATTGAGCATCAAATCAGCATATTAGAATGATTTCTGAAGCATATATTCAGATATTCAGCTTTGATCACAGGAATGAATTACATTTTAAAATATATTAAACTGTTATTTCTAATTGCAATATTTCACATTGTTACTGTATTTTACTGTATTTTAAACACATATATAAATATATACAATTACTAATTACTTAATTTTTGTCAACAATAACAATGCTATTTTTTTAGTCATGTTTTTTTTCTCTCCATATTTTCTTTTACACTTTTGCTTTTCCATGAATTGTTTTGTGCAGGCTTCACTGTGACATTTGACCCGATATGTGACAACACTGTAACAACTAGCACCAGTTTCCGATATAGTGGGGGAAATGAATTCCTCCCGGCTAGAAAATGACAAAAACAAAAAGATGGTGGAAGCACTAAATCTTCAGGTCATAGATGATGTAAGGGTTAAAAAGAGAAATTCCTCAGGAAGCACTTCCTCTGTGTGTATAAACAGAACAAACATCACCCAATGTAATAATAATGACACACATAACCTGTAGCTCAAGGCTACAGAAGCATTCAGGCCTTCTCGCTCAATATCCAACATTAAATGCAATCCAATTCAATTTACAAAGGCAGACAAAACACACACTAAACAGATTCCCTCTGCTGAATGTACCATTAAACATGGCCACAGAAAGACACAACCACGGAAACTGTATTGGGATAGAAATAACCGGCAACGTGCTGCTTCTTTATGGCCTCGTGAGGAAGGAATTACCACATTCGACACACTTTTACACACATGGATAACCAAAGAGAGCTGTACACAGGAAACTTTTCTAAGGAATTAAAGGAATCATTGCCTCTGAGCAGAAAGGTGTATAAAGTCGGGTTCACACTGCAAGATTTTGGCCACGCTTTGGCCATCTGAGACAAATTTTGAAAATCCTAAAAGATTTCTCAGATCCTGGGCCAAAATCTGAAGTCTTTCACGCTTTTGGTGTGAAAGGTCCTTTAAATGTGCCAAAAGCTTTTAAATATATAAAAAACAAGCAAGCAAGCCCAGCCCAAGTGAGAAAAAGTAAAGCAAAAGTAATGTAATGCAATACTTTCCATTAAAAGGCAATTATACTTTTTTCAGAAATGCATCATTATAACGCATTACTTTTAAAAGTAACTTCCCTTAACACTGGACAGGAGCACATGTAATGCACTTTGTCCTTAGAGAGGTGACGGTTCTCCTTTTCAGTGTTATTTTATGCTACTATTATAATTTGAAACAGCTTTTATTGTTATATTTTCATTTTAATTGTATTTTTCAGTAATTTTGTAATACACATAGACCATTTATCTTTGCTTTATTTTAATTTCTGTTTTTACTTATTTATAGTTTATTAACCAAGTAACCAGTGAAGTACAACATGCTAAATAATGGTGTGATGAAACACCCTCTTTAAAACATCCTATTAACAGATGATGCAATTTGAAGCCATGAATGCAAATACGTGCCTCTGGACACATCTCTGTAGAGAAACAGACACACAGTGGACACTTAAAGATGAAATATTACAATAAACAGAGAGCAAAGAGGAAACAACACTACTATAGTAGTTCTTCCAGGCAATGAGTCACTAGATCAACACTTATTCAATCCAGAGCTCTATATTAACTTTATCTGTGTCTCTATGACTTGAAACACAACAATATAGTCCATAACACAATAAAACATTTTTATATGACTGTAGTTGATAGGAAAAATAGAATTGCAAAGACAATGTTTACATTTAACAGATACAATTGCTAAATGCATGGTTTAACTAGTATGGAAGCATATTTCTGCCACATAAGAGAACAATGCTTTAGACAATCGTAATCATGAAATCAAAGTAAAAATTATGAGATAATTATGAGTCATAATTATGGCATAAAAAACTTTTTAAAAAACTTTTTATGTTAGAATCATAACTTTTTGTCATCCACTTTTTGTCATCGTTTCATAATCATGATTTACCAAAACAGTAATGACCTTCCATATAGACATGGCTCAAATATAGAGAGAGAAATAGAGTGAAAGCAATGTAGTCCAAATGATAATGCACATATACAAAGTCATGTTCCTGGACTTTATCAATAACGTTTCGGTGACATCTAGTGTCTAGCTTTTAAAAGCACATGCACTTTGCCGCATTGAAATTATTTGATATATATGATTTTCTTTTACAAAATGAGAATTGAGGAACGTTCACAAAAATGTACGCCCATATTCTGTAGGAATAAAAGGGCCATAATAAGTATATAACATTATTTGAATACCTGTCTCAGCTGAAGATACAGGAAGGACATATTCGACCAGGTTCTCCGTCAGACTTAGAGCCCTGTTGGCTCTCTGCTCGGCCAGGTACACGAGCTTGCAGTTAAGGACAGTATGCCGTCCCTTATGGCATTCTTGCTCTGCTGGTACCCAGTAGATACCTTGCCCAACACAACGTTAGAGGTTTGTTTGATTGGACAGGCGATACCATCTTTGGCGGTTTCCAAAGTTGAAGACATCAGCTCTTTGATATTTGCTGCCAGCTGTTGTGGGACAAGCAAACAAAGTACCTGCATTTTAAATGTCTGCCAACAGTTAAAGGGAATCCAGTTAACAACGTAGAGAGCAGTTTTAACCACATTACCTCTGCAGGCTGAGACCGCAAGGCCGGTACCTTCTCCTCCAGGCGGTCCAGTCCTCTGCAAGCCATTGAATTGGCTGCTACGACTATGAATAATACAATTTTATGTTTTATAACTTGAGGGTGAAACATTCAAATATAGGCTACTAACACATCTTTCATTAATGCAAGCATATACTGATTCATTTGATGAAAATATGAACAGGCTCTTTCAGAATGTTTCCCTAGATAACTCTAAGCCTTACCGACTAGAAATGATGAGGTTGACCTTTAATTTCTGAAATTACTGCTGAACTGATCTGGAACTTGATAGGCTCTTATGCTCACCAAGCTGCATTTATTTGATCGAAAATACAGTCAATATTGTGAAATATTTTTTACTATTTCCAGTAACTGTTTTCTATTTTAATATATTTTCAAACATAGTTTATTCCTGTGATGTAAAAGTTAAATTTTCAGCATCATTACTCCAAGTCTTCAGTGTCACATGATCCTTCAGAAATCAGTCTAATATTTTTTTTCAGGATTCTTCATGAATTCATTGATCAATTTAATGCATCCTTGCTGAATAACAGTATATGATTTCATTTATGATGTCTAAAAATAAAAAAGTCAAATACATCTGATAAAAACTAAATAAATAACAGAATATTGTAATTCAGTTTAGATACTGTAGGCCTATAACATACAAATGTTGATAATACTGCAGTTACATATACTGTACTGAATGTGGATGATGCCATACCAGACAACAAAATATCAAGGAAATCACTGGTGAGTCAGAGTGCTAGTAACATGTAATTACGTCTCTCGGCAGATTAGTCTTGTGTAATGCTCAAGTGGGACCTTGAAGGGTTCAAATATTTAACATTATTGCCCAATTATTGATCTAATCACAAACCAGAGTTCAGTTTTGCAATTCCAGACTATAACCCTGGCTGCATTGCATTTCTCAACTTGTATTTGAATTCATGTAACAAATATATTTGTACAAAATACACAGAAGTAAAAAACAGGAAAAAATAAACAGCACTTGCCTATATTTATTAGAAGCCTTTTGTTCAAGTTAAGTAAATGATCTGTTACTGTTATATTTTAATATCAATTAAGATCACTATTAAATGTAAATGAATTTGTCAAGTAAGGAACATCCATGCAGTGCAATAAACAGGTCACTAAACTGATAGATTTAGCATTGCCCTGAAAGCAGAGCTTCTCTAGTGGACATGACAGAAGGAATTGATGAGTCTTACTGCGTCTCTCCCTCTGGAGCATCAATATCCACATTTTAAGACCAAAACCCCTCATTATAGGCTTACCAGATTACTTATTTTGCAGGCTCTCACTAAAACAGACTTGATTGCAATACAAAAATAAGATATTAGGCTGCTGGATTTGTTTTGTTCTTCCTATATTATGACTGATTTATTGTCAAACTAGAATCTGAACTGCAGACTATATTCCTTTAAATCAATTTGAACACATTAGATCACTAATTGTCCCCAAAACAAAGACATTCTACAAAAACGGATCATTTTACTTGCTAATTGTTGCATTTTGTATTGGACATATGTGCACAACGAAATTATATATATAACCCTCCTATTGGATTCGGGTCCGACAAGGAAGATGTACATGACCATAAATTTTTAATTTTAAATCCATAGGTTTTAGTAGTGTGTTAAGACTGTCAAAATACACATCTTTTTTTTTTTTTTTTTTAGATATTACCATTTAAACTGAATTGTTACACCTTTTGCGTTCGGGTCTGTTTTGACCTGAAAGTTAACTGTGGCTTTACACATGAAATTATGCTGGTTTTTTTTTAAATACATCTATTAGTTAGATTTGTCTCAAATTACTTCTGTAAAATGCATTTAGCTTCTTTCCTACACTCACACACATATTTTTTCCTTCCTCTGGGGCTGCATTTTGTTTATAAACATCATGTTAACGCATACACACACAATAATTCTGAAATTACGATAAAATGACAACAACAAAAAAAATTCTTAATGTGTCTGTAAAGCAAAAGTTCATATACAAAATATATTCTGGTTTGGAAAAGAAAAAACACATTTGACTTTTCTGCCACCTACAGGTATTGATGAAACATTGCAGAGTGAAAATTAGATTCAAACTGTTTTTCATCATAATTTTTTTATATGAAAGTAAAAGAGTATGCAAGTAAAATGAATATATTTAGTTTGAAAACATGTCAGAGTAATACTGTTTTGGTGTTGTTTTGTTTGAAAAATAATATGTTGGTTTCATAAATTTAGACTGTTTTAAGCAGAGAATGTTTCAAATAAATTGAAGTCAATGGAGTTCATGCTGGCAATTCTAATATTAATTTCATGTAATATATTATTCAAATAAAATTTCTCATAATATCTTTTCTTGCATTGACTGTTTTATATACGTACGTTCCACCGGGTAGTTTTAATGCTTTAGGAGGATTAAACCAGTTTATTAGCATAATGACTTTTAATAATAATACAGAAGATTTGAAGACTTACGCTGGGGCTCCAGTACATGGAGGGCAGGTTGCAAACTCCAAACAGCCAAGCTGCCAGCCATCCTCACACCTTTCTCATACAGCCCACACACAGACCTTATGATGGAATGAGACTGTTTCGTACGGATGTAAGTCTTCTCAATGGATTCGAGAGCAGCATTGACAGATTGAAGATTGAGGATTCGAAGAAATATATTCTGTAAGGAAAAACTTGTCATGCTTCTTGTTCACTTTTACACTCACACATGAAAAAGTCCATTACAACAGTACAGTCATGAGTTTCTTATTTAGCTTTCTACCACAGTTTTTAATCCAGTTGAACTTTTTTAGCCCTACCTTTTCATAGCCTATACAACTGCTGATAAACAGCAGTGACCCCCAAAAATAACATATGCATTCATATAAAAAAGTGAAAGACAATAACCTTAAAAAAGAAAAACTGAGCTATCAGCAGGAGGACACCCGTCACAAATTTAAAGCAGTACCTGACCCTTCAAAACTTCACCGGTGTCCTTTTTTTCAGACGCCATCTCCAATAGTCTTCAATGAGCTGGTGAAATGTGGAGAGAAACTTTAGCTGGTCTAATCCCACATGTACACAACCATCTCGTGACAGAATTATTAGATCATGAGTAGGCTAAAGCATGTGTAAGTCTCACAGTAAAGCTCAGTATATAAGACTGACATTAACAAATCACAGTCCTATTCTGAATCTGAAATGAACTACACCCACCGAACCCTGTCATGATTTCAAAATCTCTCCCGAAATTATGCAAATGTTTTTTTATTGCTAAATCCCAAAGTCTGTATTTACCATGACAAACTGAACTCAATTTAGACATGTGCAACAGACCAAAAAAAAAAAAAAAAAAACTTTCTAAAAAAAATACAACGTTTGCCTGGCTGATGGTTCTAGGCATCAGCATCACCCTGATGAAAAAATGTCTAACAATTTAGTTACCTTCAACCTAAAATGGTCTTGCTAATCTCTCCTGTCCAAGCTGGTCTCCTAGCCTTACCAGGAAAACTGTTTAAAGTGTTAACAAACCAGCCTAACAAGGCTGTTATTATGACCAGCAGACCATCTTAAACTGGTTTAGGATGTTGTTGTTGTTTTTTAGCTGGGCAAATTGTTGTAATATAGTAATTTGCCAATAGGTGTCACTGTTGTATTAAGTGAGTCACCACAGTTCTGTTTTTCTTCTTCGCTGTTTTCTCTCTCTGTCGTTGTCAGTAATAAAAAAGCACGTGAAACTTCAACAGGTTATGGGCCCAGATCTTCGCTAAAGAAAAAGAAGAGGTAGTTTTACACAGGATTTTTTTTTTTTGTGTGTGTGTGTGAAATAGACAGTGTTCTGGTATTCACCATGGAGGATAAACTGTTTATTGAAAAATTTAGTGGGCCAGAGAACTGGGCAACGTGGAAATTTCAAATGGAACATTTTCTGAAAGCTAAAGGTTTTTGGGGCATGGTAATGGAGACTGACAACGTGGCAGAAGGAGCAAATGCACAGGCAAGAGCAGAATTTGAAAAAACGGAAGGAAAAAGCATTTTCTGTGTTGGTGCTGAATGTGAGTACGCCTCAGTTGTATCTGATAACAAGCTGTAAGACCCCAAAGGAAGCTTGGGACACACTAAAAGGACATTTTGAAAGAGACACTCTAGCAAACAAGCTGTTTCTGAAGAAAAAATACTTTAGATGTGAAATGAAAGAAGGAGAAAATGTAACTGAACATTTGAAACGAATGAAGAAATTAACTGACAAGCTGGGGGCAATAGGTGCGTTGATCGAAGAAGAGGATCAGATTGTAACACTGCTTGGTAGCTTGCCACCAAGCTATGCTACAATAGTTACTGCACTGGAAACTAAGTTGGACAGTTTGACGCTACAGTTTGTTCAGCAAGCATTAATAAATGAAGAACAAAAACGAGTGTCTGCTGATGGTAACTATAGTGATGCTTTGTCCGGTGGTGCGTCAGCGATGTCAATACAAGTTCGCAGTGATATGCAGACTATCTCCAAGACAGCGAGAGATGACAGATCTAGTTCGTGGAGATGTTACAAATGTGGAAAAGAAGGACATATCAAGCGTGACTGTCCAAGTAAGAAAAAACAGACTAAAATTCACAAAGCAAAAAATGTAACATGTGACCATGATGAAGATTCGTCTGAGAGTGCCTTTATCGCTAGAGGAGAAAATCAGGATAAGATGACACAACAGGTCGAGTGGTTGATCGATTCTGGAGCTTCAAAGCACATGACGTGTCACGAAGAAATTCTTCAAGACTACCAGCAATTTCAAAAAACACAGTCTGTGAAACTTGGTGATGGTAGAGTGGTTGACGCTCTAGGAGTTGGTAATGTTAAACTGAGAATGACATTACAAGTCAGTGATGTAAAAAATGTCACAATGTTTGATGTGCTGTATGTTCCCAAGTTATCCGGGAATCTCTTCTCAGTGGGAGCTGCTGTAAAAAAGGGAAATACTGTGCAGTTCAAGAAGTCTCGTTGTTACATTCGTAACAAAAATGGAAATCTCAGAGGAATGGGAACACAAAGATCTGATGGATTGTATCAGCTGGATGTAGAGGGAAGTGTGCATTGTGCATCAAGTGCACTAACAGCAATCAGTTTGTGGCATCAGCGTTTGGCTCACACCACTAAATTGAAGGAACTGAAAAAACTGGTAAATGGAGTGGACTTTCCTGAAGAGAAAGAAGTTTCTTTCTGTGAAGCATGTGTGGAAGGAAAGCTGTCAAGGAAGCCACATAAGCCAGTAGGTGAAATTCGTTCAAAACGAAAACTACAGTTGGTGCATAGTGACGTCTGTGGTCCGATGCAGACTGAGTCTATAGGTGGATCAAAGTACTTTGTGACTTTTATTGATGATTATTCTAGATGTTGCAAAGTATACTTTATGAAACAAAAGAGTGAAGTTCTTTCCAGATTCAAGGAATTTGAGAAAACATTATCCAATGAGTGCGGGCAGAAAATAGCAAGACTGAGAACGGATAATGGTGGGGAATACACTTCAAAAGAATTTCAAGAATACTTGAAGGTTCAAGGTTCCTAATCATCCCCATATATATATATACACTGATTGGCTTCATCACTCTGTCTCCTCTCCACCAGTAAGCTGGTGTGTGGTGGGCGTTCTGGCGCACTATGGCTGCCGTCGCATCATCCAAGTGGATGCTGCACATTGGTGGTGGTTGAGGAGATTCCCCCTTCCATGTGAAGCGCTTTGAGTGCCTAGAAAAGCGCTATATAAATGTAATGAATTATTATTATTATTATTATTATTAAGGTATCCATCATGAGACAACTGTACCTCACACACCACAGCAAAATGGTGTTGCAGAAAGAAAGAACAGGACATTAATTGAAGCAGCGAGAACCATGCTCTCTCACGCTAAATTAACAAAGTCGTACTGGGCAGAGGCTGTAGCAACCGCAGCTTACACACAGAACAGACTTCCTACTTCTGTCCTGAAACAAGTGACGCCATATCAGAGATGGTGCGACAAACAGCCAAATGTGAGTCACATGAAAGTGTTTGGTTGTGTAGCTTATGCACATGTCCCAGACACAGAAAGAAGAAAACTGGATAAGAAGGCTGTGAAGCTTCGTTTCGTGGGATATGCCAACAATGCCAAGGGCTATCGTTTGTACGATGCAGAAAAAAGGAGGATTCTGATTCGTCGGGATGTGATCTTCAATGAGTCAGATTTTGACCTGAAACAGGAAGTGGACATTTCTTGTGTGGAGAACGAAGTGGTCTTGAGAACTGACGAGAGAACATCAGTCGATGCAACTGTCGATGAAACTACTAGAGTAGGTGGCAGAATCAGAAAACCACCTAAGAGATATGGTTATGATGAGTTTGCTGATCTGGTGACTGTTGATCATTATGCTAGTGTTTGTTGTGTTGCAGAACCAAGTACACTGAAAAAGGCAATGATGAGTTCTAACGCAAATGAGTGGCAGGAGGCGGCTGATTTGGAATATGAATCACTGCTTGAAAATAAAACGTGGGATTTGGTGGAATTACCAAAGGATCGGAAGGCCATAGGATCGAGATGGGTGTTTAAAGTTAAGCATCATAGTGACGGATGAGTGGAGAGATACAAGTGCAGACTTGTCGCTAAGGGTTACTCACAAAAGTATGGTGCCGACTACGATGAAACTTTTTCACCCGTGGTACGTTTTAGCTCAATTCGTACATTGCTGTCCTTCGCTGTCCAGAATAACATGCATGTGCATCAGATGGATGTGGTAACGGCATTTCTAAATGGACACCTGGATGAGGAGATCTATATGGAGCAACCAGAGGGATACATCAGACCAGGGGAGGAAAATTTGGTGTGTAAACTGAAGAAGTCAATATATGGACTGAAGCAATCTCCTCGCTGCTGGAGCAAAACTTTCACAGAGTTCATGAAGAACATTGGTTTCAATCAGAGTACATCAGACCCGTGTGTGTTTGTTAGATCTCGACAGGAGCTGGAGATATTAGCTGTTGTGATGTCACGAGAGGCTGTGTCCTGGAGGGGCGCTACATTTCCCTGAGGTGGCTGCAACCATAAACAGCTATGTGGAGTATGTCCCTCTGCTGGTGGAGTTGGGAACTCCACCCCTCAATACACCACATTCCCGCACACCTGAGACTGATCAGGGTCTGATGAGCTGAAGGGCTTTTTAAGGGTTAGAGACACAGTTAGTGGGTGTGTGAGGCTTGGGAGACAAGCTTCAGGTTGTACTCTCTACAGAAGACCAGAACGCTCCAGTATCGTTTCCACGAGGAATACTGAAGGTTGGAAATACTTTCCAGACATTTGAAAGACTGACGGCTGGCTTGGCCATGGGCTGCAGCACGGATTGAAAGAAGGTTGGAAAAAGACTGTTTACTTTCATGAGGGAAAACGGGATTATGATTTCACCATTTCACCAAGAGGCATCGTTTAAGTTTTGACTGTTGAAGACCAACCTGATCCTTAGTTACACTTATGAGTTTGGAACGCTGTTTTTGCTAATTCCCAAGAACTGTAATAAAATCCTTGTTTACATTTGAACTTTGTGTCCTGGCACTACTTGAACTGTCCCGCTGAGAGCTGTGTTGCCTCTCATGACGTCACATATGGTGGAGAATGCGGGCAAGCTCAAGCATTAATAGTGCATGTCAGAGGAGGACACTGAAAATTTGATTGCCCACTTTTCCAAATTGGCCGTAGGCCCCCCCACGTAACAAAATGGAGGAAATTTTGAAAGCCCTTGTTGCTGCTCAGCAAGCCCAGATGCAAGCGAATGTGGCTCTCTTGGAGGAGCAAAAGAGAGCCAACCTTCTGAAGGCAGAGGAATTGCAGCTGCAGAAACAGATGGCCGTCCGGAATGTCCGCCCAATAAAGGCAAGTGACTTTATATCCAAGATGGGGGCCACAGATGACGTTGAGGCGTTCCTACATGCCTTTGAAGCCACGGCCACTAGGGAAGCCTGGCCCAGGGCACAGTGGGTTGGACTGTTATCCCCCTTTCTAACGGGGGAATCGCTGAATGCTGTCCGGGACCTGGGCCCCGACCAGGTGACTGACTATGATGCCCTTAAGACTGAGATCCTCAGCAGAAATGGGCTCACCAAGTTTGGTATGGCCCAGCGCTTCCACAGCTGGACCTTCCAACCAGACCAGCCTCCTCGTGCGCAGATGCACGAACTTGTCCGGATCACGCAGA